CCCAGGCATTCCAATGCGAGATGCAGGTGTCCCAAGCAGTGGGCCCACTGTACCAAACACAGGTCCATACTCCCGTTTTCAAGCAAGTTGTTAGAGCCTCGTGGGCTTAACCCTAGCAAGCAATTGGTCATGGATATGATAAACAGATAACTTTTTGGTGGTTCTCATCATCATTAGGTTTTCGTATTCTGGAATGAAATGAGAGTTTATAAGATCGTGTCTATGTGAAGAGCCAGAGTCACATTTTTTAGTTCTTATCAGAAGTCTGCCTCCCCCTCCTTCCCTATCATGCAGTAAACCAGCTCTGCAGAGGCAAAGGGACTTAAGGACAATGTGACTGCAGCAAGACGAGCAGCCTGTACTAGGAAAGTACTGAAGTATTATTGTCTCCAGCTATAATATCCCAAGTTGTTGGCTGGAGCACCACTGAGACATCAGGCAAAAGACAAGCAGGCTTACAGCATTCTGAATGGCTTAGTGACTGGACAGATGCTCCATTTCATTCAAAAATATTACTTTCCAGAGTTGAGTAAATCATCAACCACTTATTTATTCTTCTTTTCACTCATTCTCAAGAATAAAAGAAGTGTAATCTACTTGTGAGTTGGCAAAATGGCTATAGTCCCTTTTTTTCTGACGGAACGTTGAAGCTCTGTTTGGGGAAAAATTTGTAATGTTTGCAAACCGATATATTTACTTGTATGTTTATTTAAATATTCAAGAAAACATTCCTGCACTATTCACCCAAATCTTAATTTAAAAAGCAATCCTATAGGTAATCCCCAGGATTCCTTCCCATGTCCTTGGAGATCATCTTGAATGTACAGAACGCTTGACTTAAGAGAATGCAGTGATTTGTGCAACTTCCAAATTGATGTTCTAGCCTGCATGTCTTTCTCTCGAATACCTTTGCAAGGAAGTTGTTTACACACAGGTATCCAAAGTGAAATCAGCAACTTGGACACTGAAGTCAAGTAAGGTCATGGGCCTGAGGGTTCAGAAAGGGTAGTCAGTGCACAGACAGGGGCTTGGCACTGACTGTGGTCAGAGGGCCTGGGGTCCTCCAGGCCATGCTGTCCTCATGAGGGCCTGAGCTCACCACTCCCTCCTACCCCCAGGCTGGCCAGAGCCAGGAAGGCTGCCAAAGCTGGAAACAGGCATCGCTTTCCAAATCAGGCACCATATTGGTACGAGTGTTTTCTTTATTGTCATAGACTGTTATGATAGACTTTATAAATTGTGGTTGCTAGGGTTGGATCACTAAGAGGCTTTCAGAGTTCTCTGTGAAAGGGGAAAAGAAGCCAAGAAAATGCAGCCACAAACAAAAAAGAGGGGGAAAAAACAGCATTACTCGTCTGACCAAAGACAGGCTGGGTAAACACCACTTTGTGCACACACAGAATGTGATATTATGCTTGTGTCTGGTGCTTTTTTTTTTACCACTGGGTGGCTTGATCTCTCAATAATGATTGCAGCCACACATGTGATTTTGTTTTCCAGGGTCACTCACTATCTCTGTTAGAGCTAAAATTAAGGAATAAACCTACTTATGAATGCTTAATACACCCAATCCTATTTTCAGCATTGGCAAGAGAAATAAGAAAACTGCTTCTTTTTGGCAAGTGTGTGGAATGTCACATCAACCAATACTCCTCATCAAAGAATAACACATACGGCAAATCACTCTTTTAGCTGGGGTAAGAGAAGAGTAAATCCTTGGGCGTAGGAAAGGTATGGCAAAGCGCCGAGCACAGTATATACACTTAACGGTCATTGGTTGATTCTAATGCTAAGCTGTGAGTAACACTCCTCTCCTCCTTAAAAATCTTGTTGGGGCTGGACGGGGGGAGTGGGTGGGGCAGGGGAAGAAATGGCCCCAAATGCCTCAAATCCACACAGTGTGCAAATGGATACCTTCTACCAGTACACCACAGTGCATCATGGCAGCTCTTCATTCTCTAAAAAGGACTACATACGGATAACATTACTCACGAGAAAAAGGCAAAATACTACAGCCCAACAAAAAGGAATCGTGAACATAGTACAGTCAAGCTCCACTCCACTCATCTTGTGGGACGTGACAAGCATGCTCTGTTAGTATAATTAAGACTATGTGCCCTCAATGAGAGTGGTTTGTTCATATTTTTGCCTGACTACAACTCTTTCTCATCTGGCTTGCCAGGTACTGAATTTTTCATAATTAATGTTATTGTTCTTGAAATAAGGCTCCTGAAAGAGTGAATCTGCTGCTATGATTTTTCATTGACACTTCTAATCACAAATTTTACAAACTGGTTTCTTCCTACCAGCGAGGCAGCCACTTGGACCTCTCAGAGGAAACGGGACCGGAAGCAGGGGCGGCTCAGTTCCGCTGCAGCTGCTGAGGACCTGAGGGATGCCAGAGAGCATGAGCACCCTCCAGGGGGGAGCTGTTTTCCCAGAGAACACAAGGAAGAGCTTTAAACTTTGTTTTTCTAAGTTGCCCCATAATAACTGTGCACACTTAGAGGGTACATTGTGGTGGTTTGTACATATATTATACATCGTGTGACGACCAAACCGATGCAACAGATCCATCAGAAGCCCATCGGTTTCCAGAAGTAACAAATTGTCCAACATTGCTCTCACTATGTTACATATCTAAAATAACTACACTGTACAAAATTACATATGCATAGATTCACACTCAGACACACACGCAATAAAGTGTGCTCTAAATTGCATGCTCTCTTCAATGAATCTATAACCTTTTGTCCAAGTTACATTGTAATAATTACAACTTCACAAAGCTCTGTCTTTATATTCTCAAATCCTATTTTATCAATGCCTTTCAATGCATTCCAGTCTTAGTTGTATAAACCTTGACCACTTTTCCCATTTTTAGTTTTAAGGCATTTGAAAGAACGAATGGAATTTTTCCATCAGGATTTCCAGATATTGCTGAAAAGCAGGATAGTGAGGAATGATGGCTGATGAAATCCTCCAAGTTGATCTAATTTATTTCACCTCCGGCCTCCCCATTACTTTTGAATATCCTAAGTAAACCATTATTTCATGTGCAACTTTTTCCGTCTCCTTTTCTGCCTTTTTCATGCTTAATTCACTTTGCAATTCCATTAGCCAGTGTCTACAAAACTACATTAATAACAAAGAAAACCTGTCATCCATCTTATCCTTTAGACCCCAAGAGAAATTCTCCCTATTTCTCATCCTTATCTAACTCTGTCTGAGATATTTGTGATCACATCAAGAGTTCACTTAGTTCTAGTTTTCTCATGGTATTTACACACCAGAAACAAATGCAAAATTTCATCAGTCACTTCTTTAGGACCTAAAAAGCAATGATTCTCCTCCTTGATCTGTTTGGATTGAATCATTTTTGCATTTTCATGAAGAAACAATGATATCTAATCTTAACTTTATTAACTTTCAGAATCATCTTGACATAATTATCTTGCCTAGTTCTTCAATTAAAGGATCATTTTTAAGATTGGAGACCAATGGCATGAAAAACCCGTCTTTGCTTTAAAGGGAGACAATATTAGCTGCTCTAAACAGAAGACACAGCTACTTACTTAACTAGAATCACCTTAATAACAGATGACATTTAGAACAGATCACCTCTGGTATTAGGAAACAGCTGTTTATAGGTAGATCGCTATTTGAAAGAATGGTGCAAAAGTCATAACAATGAGATATAAAATAGAGCAGTGAAAATGAAGAGGCTAGATGCTGTTCCTATAGCTAAAAAGCACATGAACGATTAAAAGGTAACCTCCAGATTTAAACCTACAGTTTATACATCTACTGCATAAAGCTAAGTAGTACTCACTAGGTACAATGGAGCAGTGCTTCTTGTAAGCAATGTGTTTTCTTATACATGACACATGCTATTCATAAATTAGGATGTTCTCTGATGAGGATGCAATCAAAATTGATAATAAACACGCTTCCTTTTTTTTTAGAAGACATTATTTTTCAGGGATGCATGAAAGAATAGAAGCTGAAAATTGGCTTGTGTCTTAGATTTGGTAAGATCTAAGATTTGATTTTATCTTTCATTTTGTTATTTTTAATCTTGGATTTGCTGAAGTATAGAAAATCACAATCTTCAGGGGCATTAAAAATTCATGTTTATGAGAAGGTTTTAAAAAATCTATAGAAAATTTGCATTATTTTTAGTTCCATTTTCCCACAATACTTTTGAAGTTGCAAGCTCACGTTGAGATGTAGTGAAAGTGAACCACAACCTCGCAAGCAGACACGAAACACACAGGTGTTTTGCCCTGGAGTTATTCAGTTTTTGGCTGATACAAAATTTTCAAAGGATTTCTCCAGGAAAATGAAAGCAGAAGCTCTTAAAGCATTTCTTAATTGGAGTTATTGGCATAAGAGAATCGTGGGCCTCCACTATCTATATTTCTATATTTTTCTCTTATTCAGTTCCACGGGAAAATGAAGCAACCGACATAGAATTTCTACCCTGTACATCCATTTTCTGCTCTGCTTGCTAACCTCTCAACACAGAAGACCATGAAGCACTAGATAAAAGCAGTTCTCATCAGAGCCCTGGACCCACAGATGAGGAACTGGGGAACCTACTTCCACAAAACCCAATGCAAAGGGAAAAGCCGCCCTACAACCCAAAAGGATGGTTTCTAGGTCAGAAAGTTCAAACTAGCAGACTGACCCATCTACTAACCACAACCACCTGTGTCCTCTTTCTAAGTGTGCATTTCAATCCCTCCCCTTCAAGAGAAAAAAGAAAGTGAAAAACAACAACAAAAAAAAGAAGGCTATTTGCATGAATGTCTCTGGATACTCATCAACCACTACCAACTTCAAAAAGAACTCTGTTAATCTCTTTTAAAACAGTTTCTTTGGCTCTCTGACAAATTAAGGTAAAAAGAAAACTGTCAATAGCCCTTGGCCAGTTTTAATTTTCAGTAACAGCAGAACTAGCAAGGGCCCTTGACACAACAACCTCGCTGTGGGCTTACCTTTTGCACAGCCCCTTGAAAAGCCTGTTTAAGTCTCCTACATGACTCAGGCATTAATTTCGTGTCTTGACTCTCCAGAGCAGCATCTTGTGAATCCTCATTTTCATGGAGTCGCAAAATTCTATAAATGCAGTGAGTACCATCTGCAGATATTCTATTAGGATCCATCTGAGGAGAGAAACACACACAGGAACGTTAGAGTGGTTGGCATTAATTATTCTGCTGCTTAATAAAGTGTGACTTAAGAACAGAACTCATTCGTGCCAAGTCTTTAAGTCCCCAATGATTAATAGTTAATACAATCATCCTGAAGCTGACGAGAAGGCAGACTCGTAACGCATCTGGGCGAGTCGCTAACACGGACAGCACAGGGCTCAGTTCTGCGCATGGATGCTCAATGACAGGAAGAAACACGTAACACGAAAGCCCTGAGAGAGAGAAGCAGCAAGGAAACCACATACGTGCAGTGAAGGTAGGGAAGGATAGTTTTATTTTTAAATCATAGACAACATGCTAAATAGAATTAAAAATCCCACTAGTATATTCCAAGAATGAAGTTGATATAAATCAGGCAAAATTAGCATCATCATCAACCACTATGATTGCCGCATCTTTCCCCATCATCATTATCTACTTTAACCAACCGGGTAAGAGATACAAATTTGTTTCCTGCATCCAAAGAAAACCTGAAGAAAGGGTGCAAGTGCTTGTTTAAAGGTGAACATGTTCCCCTGTACAGTACCTGAGTCCAACGTCCAGCACCCACTCCTGACTGGCTTCCTTCTAGCACAGACTTTGACAGGCAGTGGTATTAGTTCAAGAAATCGGGTCCCTGTCACTCTTTCGGGAAACCTGGTTAGCCTTCTGGTACCTGGCTTTGGCACCAGCCCAGCCACAGCTATCACGAACACTTATGAAAGAGGGAGCTCTTTCACTGTTTTTGTCTGCCTAACTTAGCTACCTACACCTATCGCTTTGACTTTTACATTTAAATTAAAAATGAACAGAAAGGGAAAATAGAAGCTGCAAGCACTAAAACTCCCATGAGTGTTCTCCCTGTTGACATGCAACATCTAGAAGGAGGGTGGTGGCGGTTAGGAACACATGAAGGTGATGCAGAAGACAGCAGGAGCAGCCCACATGGAAATAGGCTGGGTGGGCGTTAACATCTCTAGAAGGCAAGGTATTCTACAACACAAAATTCCTGAAAAGTTATCAGCTCATCTCGTGGTTGAAACAGGTGCCTAGCACGAGTCTTCCTCCGAGCACCACCCTTCAAACGGCCTGCCTGTCCTTCCCGGAGATCTGAAGAGTCTTGGCGGTGCTTTCAACTGTGATCTAAAGGCACTATGATTGGCGAGTCAATATTTCATTAATAACACGAACATACCTCAGAATGCTCATAAGAAATGTATTTTAGGAAAAAGCCATGGATGCACTCCAAAATACAGGTTCAATTTGTCCTTTTTAAAAAGGATAAAAAAAGGTACTTTAAGTGCATTTGCTTGTAAGTCAATACAGAATGATAGAGAGAAAAAAAAAAATTACAATAACCGAAGCACAGTCTGAACTCTTACCAAGCCTCTTTTCCCAATCTAATTATCTTTCTACAAAGTAATCTGAAAAGCCTGCAACTTTGCTAACCAGCTATCAGAAACAGACTGGAAAATAGCCTACTCCTATGTGAAATTCTTACCACAGAATGACAGCCTAAGTGCACTCACTCATACAAACTTCATTATTATAGTTTTGCACAGTAAGGATCATCTGTATCCATGGGAGAGGTGCCAGTGCGAAGCAAAGTTCTTTGCAACCCACAGTTTTCATATTTTCTCTTTTTTAAAAATGGAATGAATCAACAGATTTGAGTTATTCTATAAGGAAAGCTTTCAATCACACACTTAAAGACAAAACAAAAGCTCCCTCATGCCGATAAGTGTCCCACCAAACCAGAAAAGTGACAGCTGATACACAGGGTCACTGGGTTCAACCTTGGGACGAAGGGGCATTGGAAGGCCTCCACTGACCGGCCACCAGAAAACCGCTGAGCTGCACAACACTGTGGGGCCCAGACGGAAACACCGAGGGACCCTGAAATTGGGTAAACCCCATCCCTCAGGCAGGCAGGCAGGCAGGCAGGCAGGCAAGACCCCACATTTTCCATGCTCTCGATGCAGCCTTGGGCTCTCTGGGAGCTCCTTAGAAAGGCGGTTATGCTGCCTGGAAATCTGTATGCCGTTCAGGTCCCCAGCATTCGTATACACCTTGACTTCTGAGAAGAAATGCTTTAAGATGCCAGCTGGACAAATACAAATCAATGTTCTGTAGTTTAAATCACTCCAACTTGCCCTGGACACCAACTGAAACTTTGCATTTTCCTCCGCAAGTTACACCCAGGGGTAGAAAGATGCTGCAACAGTTAAATGGAATATGGTAGCTATTGCACTACTTATTGAAAAGGGAAGCATTAAAAATAGGTTAATCTCTGTCCTCGTGGAACCTCCAGTCAACTAAGAACGGAGAAATCCAGCAGAAAGTCAGAAGTACCTCGAGATGTCTTAAACCATTAGATTTTGAGTATCTGATTTCACATAGACATAAAAGAGCATTTATCAGATGACATGGTCTCTATGAAGCGAATTTATTCTTTTTCTTTCAGAACTTCCTTGTAGGGTTAAATGGGGCAGATGCTTGACATTTGTGCTGCTATACAGTTCTCCTCTCTCTCTCCTTTTTTTTTTTTTTAAGCAAAGCATTGTCAGTTTTACTCTATTTTTTTTAAAGCTCTTTGACTTTTCAAACAGGCAGCCTACACATCTCTCCATTCTAGTTTCAGTAGCGACTGCTGTCCTGGGTAGAAGCCACCAGGGAGGTTAACAGGAAAAGTTCAAAAGAGTTTGAGTTTTCTGAAAAGCTTATCTCTTAGCCAGATCCTAAGCTTTGAATATGATTATATGGATGTTAAAAGTTGCATGCAGGCACACAGATATCATAAGTAGCATTTTTGAAAATTTTGGCTTTTCCCTTTGTGAGCCAAAGTATGAATACTATGTGGTAAATATATAGTACAAGCCACATGCCATTTTCTCTTAGGAGGGTTGTGAGAGCAAAGCCAACTTACATAGGATCTAGCATATAGTTGAGAGAAAGCCTCCAGCATGTATGAAAGTGGAAAGGATCCTGGACTAAGCCCTCATGTCACCGTAACTCAACACTTGCATCAACAACATCAATCCGTGAGCAACCATTTTACTTCTCTCTCTCTCCCTTCGCACTAATTTTTTTTAATTCCAGAAATTATAGCATTTCATTTGAATGATTTCAGGACGTATCAATACAATTAAATCTCCATTAGGCATCAAATGTAGCTACCACCAGAGCTAGTGGTGTATTCATTGCTCCTAATATTACTTCTTCATTGAAGATGATCTTTTTTAAAGTCGTAGAAAACCCAGTCTTCATGGCAATTAGGAAAGTGGTCATCAAAAACCTTATGAACCTAAATCCCCCAACTGGAAATTTTCAAGCTAGGCTTACCATCTAGACTTTGGAAAAGTTTTTCAGTGTTTCACAGTTGCAGGTTTCCTAAATTCCGTTAGGTTAATCATCCAAAAAGCCAGATCTCTTAGCCCACCAACACTGAAACGTTCCTATGGGACAAGAGGCTGGCTAGTCACTCCTCCAGGGTTTCACAGGGTCTCCAGGGTTTCTGTTGATATTAGTGGCTCTTGCTTACTAGAACTCATTCATCCCTGGGGTTGGGGGTTGTAGCACAGCTGGTTGAGCTGATGTTTTGGACACCTGCATTTCATTAGGAGTGTCTGATTCAAGTTCCAGTTACCAGCTTCCTGCTCATGCTGCTTAGGAGGCAGGTGCTTGGGCCCCTTCCACCCACAGGGGAGACCTGGGTGAAGTTCTAAGCTCCTAGCCCAACCCTACAGTTACCAGAATCGTCCGGGAACGAACCAGCAGGTAGACGTGCCCCAACCCCAGTCTTAATCTCTATCACTCTGCCTTTCAAAGAAGTCAATTAACATTTACAAAGAGAACTTACTCATTTCCTTCTGCCCTTTCCAAGCTGAATGCTCATTTCACTATTAGTGCTATGAAGAAAAAAAAAAATGTATTCATTCAGGGTTAGAAAAGTTAAGAAGTAGAAAACTAGTGCAGCTTCACTTTTTTTACGCCAGGCTTTCTCTTGTTTGAGTAAGGATGTTAAGTCTTTTGTTGGAATCTCCGCCCTTCCAGGTAGCATGCCCACAGTAAATGGGTACTGTGCGTTCAATAAATGACTCTTGGCTTGTATTTCACACTAGTGGAATCTTGCTCACAACGCACACACCCAACACACAAGTGTGAAATTGGAGGTTTATTAACCCAACGCTAGCTGAGAGAAGCGATAAACTATTCACTCCAAAGAAAGAAAAGCATTTACAGCAAACAGTTCTTTAATCATTTTTCTTTGTCGGGGGGAAAAAAAGTCTCCTCGTGTAAAAATTACTGTTATAATGCACAGATGCAAGCTTTCTGGAGTGTCGTTCAAGCATTTCTACTTTTGTTTGGTAGACTGCCACACGACTCGCATGAAATGCCAACCAGTGGATAATGAATAGTTTCCAAAAAGCCAATGACTAAAAGTCACAGAGTTGAAGACCTCAGCGAAGGACAGACACCCATACAACATTGGCAATGGCATATTTTGATGCATCCAGTTGGGTTTAGCAATCACCTTTGGATCCCAAACCAATGAAGTCCAAACCCAACTTTTCCCATAAAAGGGGGGGGGGGGGGGGGAGAAAAAGGAAAAAAATGCGCAGTCAGCCCTCCACTTCCTCTGAGAAAGAGTTCATAGAACCAGAATATTTGAATGAATCCAACCAACTGCACTGCAATTTCCAAGAAAACACAAGAGCATAAACCACCAAAAGCATAGTATTACAAACGTGCCCCTTCCTTTCGACTCTCCGCCTGCAGCTGCGAGCCGCCCTACACAGCCCCCTTTCTAGCTTGAAAAAGGCTGGGTATTTCCTAGACGGTTACCAAGCCAAGCGCGCACACACACCTTGCTTCCTTCCTCCGCCCACCTCCCTGGCAAGCACGTGGGGCCGTCCTCCTACTCCATCGCACAGTCCCTGGCCCTGAGGCTGGGCCTCCCTGGCCACGCTGTGCCCTTCTGCCAACCCCGGGACAACCGGGGCATCCCAGTGTCCCGCGGTGTCCCAGAGCCGTCTGTCCCTGAGCCTCCGTTGGGCGCTGTGAACCCCAACACACCAGCAAAAACGGTTAACCCAGGATCCTAAGTCACCCAGGCAGCGGGCAGGAAGGGAAAGGTGCCGAAGGCTACGTGAAACGTCGGATTTCCCCCAGCTTGCTACCTCCAAGTTAGTTGGTCCTTAGCTCCGAGTGAGAAATGGACGGGGCGCAATCTCCTGCAGCAACGGTGAGCGGGCGGCCAATGGTGTTTCCAGGGGGGAAATTCAAACCCCTCTGGGGTCCCACGAGCCCAGCAATCCGCGCTCCGAGAGCCGGGTCCTGCATGCGGGACAGCGCCGCATTAACCAGTCCCGAGTCCACCCTCTCCCCTCTCTTGGATCCACTTTCCCTTCCCGCATAGGCCAAGTGTGGGGACCCCAAGCGGCGGGCGACTCCCGGGGGAGGCGGCCACTCACCTGCGCTCGGAAGTACAGGAACAGGGCGACGCTGCACACCACCTGGCCCAGCCCCAGCCCCAAGAGCGCCACGAACATGGAGCGGGAGGCGGCGGGGGGCTGGTGCGGGGCGGGTGGCGAGGGCGGCGGCGAGGGCGGCGGGGCGTGCAAGGGGCCCTCGTGCGGGGCGCCGGAGCCGCCGCTGCCCATCTCCTCGGAGCCGCGCAGGTACTTGGTGTAGTCTCGGCTGGCGCGGCGCATGGCGCTCAGCCCGCACGCTCGGGCGCTCCCTCCCGGTGCCGTCCGCCCGCGGCCAACTCCAAAGGCAGCGGCCGGGCCAGGCGGGGGCCTGGACGTGAGGCGCTTATTCGTTCGCTTGTTTCCTCGGTGGTTCCTCGGCGCGCGCGGGCCAGCGGGCAGGGCGCCCGGCAGCCCCAACTCTTATAAAAAGCGCTTGGGCTGGCCTCGAGAGCCAATCAGCCCGGGGCGAGGCTGCCTCTTCCACTCCCACCCCAGGCTCCCCTTCCTTCCTCTCTCACTTTTCTCTTTGACATCCTCCTCCCCAGCTCAGCCCTAAGAGAGAGAGAGAGAGAAGCTGTGGGTCCTTCCAGTGGTTCCAAGCTCCACTGGCCCCTCCCCAGCGGTCTTTCTGTGGGTGCCACGGCTGGGCTGCGGGCATTGTTCCCTGGCCAAGGCTTCGGCCGTTCCATCTGGGACATTCCTTGGGAGCAGTGCTCTTCCCTGATCCAGTTCTCTCCTTGGGATTTCGATTAGACTGGCTGACCTCTAAATTCTCTTCTTTTGCATGTCTCCCACCCCCAACTTAACAAGATCTTCCTTGGTGCTCTTAAGGGTCCCACCTCCAGCACATTTCAACTACTACTTTCCGGAGTATTTGGGAAGACAATTTCAGAACTCTCAAAGAAGTTGTTTCAAAGCAAAACTATGCAAAGAGGTCTCCCGAAATTTGTGGAAAAAAATGGAATTGAAGTGCAAACAAACAAAAAACTTCTACAAATAGCTTCTTTACAATATGCATTTTCCATGAACTTTTTGCAATTCCTTTGTATATCATTGCCATACTCAGAATTCCTTCTGTGGTTTCTAAGCATTGTTGGTATAAAATCTAAATGCTTGCAATTGAAATCTACGGTTGATCCTGCACACGTCGGCTCAAGGCTCCCATTTTAACATTAGCTTCAAGTGCAGCCCTTTGCTGGACTGCAATTCTCTTGTGTTCCCACTCTCTGTCCACCTGCAAGACCCCACTAACCCAGGATGCAGGCCTCAGGATCAGGCCCCCGAAGCACTCTTCACAAGTCCTGCCGTGGCCCTCAGGCCTTCATTCTTCACTCCACAGATGTATTGGGGGAGAGACCACGCTATTTCTATACTGACTAGGATCCCAGGGACACAGTGATCACAGGAGAACACGAGGTTTGCACTGTGCTGCACGAAGCTCCAGTACAGAGCAGCACACGATGAAGGCACTTGACAAGCGCTGTAGGCTAAGTACAAAATCATGAGCCCCCACACCCGCTCGGGGCCTCCTTCAAGAGACTTGCAGAGAATACGAAAAGTGATGTGACTCACCAGCTACCCAAGCGGAAAGTGACCAGGAACCTGTCTTAAGCAGGCACAGGGTGATGATGGCGTTATATTAATTGATTCAATAGGTGTTACCAATTGCATGCCTCTTATTTGCCATGAGTTCATTAACGTGCTAACACAAGAATCAGTTAGTTACCAGTAATTAATTAATTAATTACTGAAGTCAAAGTCCTCTAACAGGTTTCAATGATGCCAAGAAATACATAACTGAAGGTTCGAAGCTTGAATCAATATTCAGCTATGAACAACATGGTAATTAAATAAAAAATTTCCAAACTGTATTTCCCAGTATCCGACTTCCTCCCGCTCAAATGACAATTTATGGTTTCATGTTATTAAGAAACATACGGTTAGATTGAGCCTCTAGCTAAATATGGGGTTAAATCAGATGTTTCTGCCTTGAGCCAAAAAATTAAGTTAACCCAACATGAACTTTGTGGGCTGAAGCGAGAGAAAAGAGATTTCAAAGGAGAATTACTCAAGCACAGATAAGCAAAAGATAAACAATTGACACTGTGCTTCTGGGTACAGGAAACGAATCGTCATTTTTCTGCTGTCATTCTGCTAGATCAGCTTTTTTTTTTTTTTGGCCTCAGGACCCCTCTGTTCTTGAAAGTTCTTGAGGTCAGTGTTGTGGCTTAGCAGGTAAAGCTGCAGCCCCTAGGGGCACCAGTTTGGGTTCTGGACACTCCACTTCTGATCCAGCTTCCTACCAATGCACTCAGGAAAGTAGCAGAAAATGGCTCATTACTTGGGCCCCAGTCATCCGTGAGCGACCGGGATGAAGATCCTGGCTGTGGCCATCCCCTGCTTGACCAGCTCCCAACTCCATATTGAGCACTGTAGCCATCTAGGAAGTGAACCAGTGAATGGAAGATCTTGCTCTGTGGCTCTTCTTTTTCTGTAACTCTCTGAGTTTCAAATAAATAAATAAATCTTTTTTTTAAAAAAAGCTTAATGAGGACTACTAAAAGCTTTAATTTATAGGAATTTCAGCTATGAATGTTTGACATAGTAGAAACCTCAACTGAAAAAAATTTAACATGTAATCATGTTATCATACTAAAATAATTTATGTTTAAAACTAACCTTTTTTTTTGGGCCCAGCGCGGTGGCGCAAGTGGTTAAAGGTCCTCACCTTGCACACCCGGGATCCCATATGGGCGCCGGTTCTAATCCCGGCAGCCCCGCTTCCCTTCCAGCTCCCTGCCTGTGGCCTGGGAAAGCAGTCGAGGACGGCCCAAAGCTTTGGGAACCTGCAGCTGCGTGGGAGACCCGGAAGAGGCTCCTGGCTTCGGATCGGCATAGTATCGGCCCGTTGCGCTCACTTGGGGAGTGAATCATCGGACGGAAGATCTTCCTCTCTGTCTCTCCTCTCTGCATATCCGCCTTTCCAATGAAAAAATAATAAAAATAAATCTTTAAAAAAAAAAAAACCTAACTTTTTTTTTAAAAAAAAAAAAGGTGGGAAGAAAAGTGGTACTGCTTGACATTGTTTCAGATTTCTTGCCTATCTGATTTAATAAATTCTCATAGCCACTTTGACATCAGCTTTGTCATAGTGTTGCACGCTGCGCAATCTCTAGACAATAGTGCTGTCTACCACTGGGAGGATGAGAATGATTCGGGAAATTATGCCTTACCATTGTTCTGGAAGGGTAAGTTGGCAAAATTCCTGAAAGGAGCACAGAGAGGCAAGATTTTCTGACCACAATTAGAAAATGCCAGGCCATCCACTCTTGTGATTGCCCAACAGTTCTGTACGCACTGGCAAGAATGAAGCACAAAGGCGATCCCACAGTTACATCATCTTAGAAAATATCTTAAACACTCTTAGTTGTAATTTGATCAGTGGAGATCTCATAGTATTCCAAACATTTTTAATCATTTTAGGGGAAACAGGAAGGACTTCACGTAAGATTGAAGAATAAGATCTGATTTAAAAAAAACCAACAGGATGAAGGATACCTGTGAGACATGAATGGACACTACAACACAGGTAGCCAAGATGTCAGATAGTCAGTAGCTAGGGGAACATACTGGGACGAAAGAGCAGCAACAGGACAGACAAGGGACAAGCCATATGAAATGTTGAAGACACATTGGGGAAAAGCATTCAGATTCTATTCTAACATGTGCTGCTGCCTATAAGGAACTAAACAGAGGTGCACATCTACCAGAGTTGCTCAGAACCTTGCAAATCCGCTGGCCCGTCAGATGAGTGTGTGCTTGCTGAATGCAGCTTTGGTCATTCCAGGGCCAGCACCTGCACTGCATGATATTCTTTTTCCTCCAGCCTGACCACTTTATAACACAGCAACACACAACTCCTGCAACCCTCCTGTTTCATTTCCCTACACCCTTGGTCACTCAGAATCTCCTACCAAAATGGCTCTTTGACTTTTACATCGAATTACTAGCTTATATTTAAATACTCAGTTTAGGCTCTTGGTCTTTCAGAAGCTTCTGAGGTTGAGCATTGCTTGTCTATGATTCTTTATTACACTATGTTTCCATGTGCACATCTCTGAAGCTTAGTTAACTGAGCTCTGCTGCTCTAAGTTCTTTGGCAGCACTCACTCTCTTTGGATCCCTACTCCCTTGGCAATGACCAGTTAGAGATTAGAGCATGCAGACTTTTCTGGCATTCTCATTACAGAGGACTTGCCTGGGAAGAAGAGAAAACGTTAAGAGTGTCAAGGTTTCTGAATAATGTTTACTCTGGATATATGGATAGTCTATCTTAAGTAGGAAAACATGCAGCACACTTAAGGGTATAGTATGTTCAGTTAGGAAAGACAAATGCCTAGATGCATTTTAATGTTAATTTTATACAGTTTTTACATCAAGTTAAGGAATTTAACAAAACTTGAATTTGAGTGATTTTCAGATTCTATACAATTGTAATAACAGTTCTCAAATTTTTGAGTTCCAGGACCTCTATACTCTTTAACAACATTGGGAAGCCCCCCCAAAAGCTTTTGTAGTGTGTGTTATATGTAAGCATTTAAAATATCAAAAATTAAAGCAGAAATTTCTTACTCGAGGTAACAATACAGAACACATTTTATGAAAAGTCACTATATCTTCAAACGTAAGCTATTGACTAGTAAAAAGGGCTGCATTTCATAAGAGACGCAGCTAACTTCATATCTGCTCCTGTACTAAATCTGTTGTGATACATCAGTTTTGTTGAAGTGTTTGATGAAAATTTAGCCCCAGGTGAGCATATCATCTGAAAGGAGAGGAATATTTTAATTGTTTTTCCAGATCTTTGTGGGCTTCTGTTTCTCTAGTACACCAGATTTCACCAGTGTTGCTTCTTCACCGGTAATTCTAAAACCATGGGTGATGTATCCTGACTGTGTTACCATGACATCTTTTGTTCTTTCAATGGATCTCTTCTCCAGGATCGATTTTGTAACAACCACCATTGGTCGTTTGAAAATATTTGTTCACTGTGTTCCTCAGAACTTTCCAAATGTTGGCACACCCTCCATGATGCAATATCAACCACCTCTCTTCACTAATGTCACTGCTGATTTCACTAGGAAAGTCTCTAATGTTGGCAAACCAAGCTCATAGTGGCAGAAGTTTTCCAAAATGTTACACTTTACTTGACAGCTTGAGTTATATCTTTGGTAACAAAAGCTAGCAGTTGTCTTTCTTAAA